AATATGTGTTTTTTTTTTTTTTTTTTTAGTTTCTCTTTCTGTAAGTTCATTATTGGTGTATAAAAGAACCATAGATTTCTGAGTGTTAACTTTGTATCTTGCTACATTGCCAAATTCATTTATTAAGTCTAGTAGTTTTCTGATGGAGTCTTTGGTGTTTTATTATGTATAATATCATGTCATCTGCGGATACTGACAGTTTTACTTCTTCTTTTCCAATTTGGATGCCTTTTATTTCTTCTTTTTGTCTGATTGCTATGGCTAGCACTTCCAGTACTATGTTCAACAGAAGTGGTGAAAGTGGGCATCCCTGTCTTGTTCCTGTTCTTAAGGGAAATGGTTTTAGTTTTTGCCCATTGAGTATGTTGGCTGTAGGTTTGTCATATATGGCCTTTATCCTGTTGAGATATGCCCCCTCTATTCTCACTTTGCTGAGTTTTTTGTGTGATTTTTTTAATCAAAAATGTGTGTTGGATTTTGTTGAATGCTTTTTCTGCATCAATTGATATGACCATGTGATTTTTGTTTTTCAGTTTGTTTATGTGATATATCATGGTTATTGATTTGCAAATATTGTACCAGACTTGCATCCCTGGAATAAATCGCACTTGATCATGGTGTATGATCTTTTTAATATATTGCTGGATACAATTTGCTAATATTTTGTTGAGGATATTAGCATCTAGGTATTTTCATCAGGGATAGGGGCCTGTCTTTTTTTATTGTTGGTAGTATCTTTATCTGGTTTTGGAATTAGGATAATGCTGGCCTCATAAAAAGAGTTTGGAAGTGTTCCTTCTTCTTGGATTTTCTGAAATAGTTTGAGGAATGTAGGTGTTAGTTCTTCCTTAAATGTTTGGTAAAACTCCCCTGTGAAGCCGTCCGGACCTGGGTTTTTGTTTGTTGAGTTTTTTGATTTCTGCTTCTATTTTCACCAGTTGTTATTGGCCAATTCAGGTTTTCTGATTCTTCCTAATTCAGTTTTGGGAGATTGTATTTTTCTAGGAATTTGTCTATTTCAACCACATTGTCCAGCTTGTTGGCTAGTTGTTCACACATTGTCCAGCTTGTTGGCATATAGTTGTTCACGGTATTTTCTTACAATCCTTTGTATTTCTGTGGTGTCAGTGGTTACTCTTCCACTTTCATTTCTGATTTTATTTATTTGGGCCCTCTCTCTTTGTTTCTTGATGAGTCTGGCTAATGGTTTATCAATTTTGTTTATCTTTTCAAAGAACCTGCTCTTGGTTTCATTGATTTTTTTGTATTATTATTTTTTTAGTCTATGTTATTTATTTCTGCTCCAATCTTTATTTCCTTCCTTCTACTTACTCTGGGCTTTTCTTGTTGTTCTCTTTCTAGTTCTTTAAGTTGTAGGGTTAAATAATTTATTGCTGATTTTCCTTGTTTTTTGAGGTATGTCTGTAGTGCTATGAAGTTCCCTCTG